ACGAGCAATAATGTGCCTAATTTCTCAATTTTTGTGTACGATTTTTTCGCAGTAAAGCTGCTCATAACTTCGCCTACAAAGGCGCTCTGCAGATATGGAAGACAGATTTGAAATCAGCATTTTATGCTGCATGGAATGGTATGCAGCTTGTATGGATTGGCCACTTCGACTTCTGACCATTCCCTTGTGAGTAACTTACGAACACATCAGCCAGGCTAAAAATGCAGACAGAATCGTAGCAGGGTGTTGAGCAACACGACCAAGATGGCAATTTCTCTTTATTAACTTCGGCCAACGTTTCGGCGCAATCGCCTTCGTCAGAGCCTAGAAAGTCGAATACATAAGGATCTCTTCCCTCAGACGTCAATGAAGAAGCAAGACAATTCAGTTGAAAGCTAGTACGAAGGAAAGAACCAGAGCCACGGCAAAGCAATACTCACCTTAATCGTTGCATAGGGGGTACGAGGGACCACCAACTATGCAATAACTATACCTCTGCCCTATTTATAGTAATGAGTTGACCTGACCTAGCCTCAGAAACCGCAAAGGGCCTGATATGGCGCGAGTTCGTTAGTTATTGCAATACACTCCTCCTTTCGGTTCATTTTTGGATTTTTAGCGCTGATCCAAAACGCTTCTAAAAGAGGGCAGACAGAATCGGCGCGAAACTGCACAACCGCGCCCGAAAAGGAGAGGATCGATGAAGCTGATTTTGGCGAGGATAACAAAAAAAACAAATTCTTCTCTTTATAAACCTTACTGGTTTTTTTCATTAGCTGTCCAAAACAAGAACCCTTTTATTCATTTCATTGAATTCACGCTGCAACCATTTCGTTTTTTCATAAAATTTTCGTCATAAATTGTGTTTTTGTTTTATCCGTGCATTTGCTAGGCGAAATCCTTGATAGCGGTCATCATCGATTGCGTAGTGGCACTATCAACGATTGCCCAGCGATGCATCAAAAGGTGTGTCGCTAGTCGGAGTCGAACCACGGCCGCACGCGTGTAGTTCCAATCGCTTACCCGTTTGACCAAACCAGCTCCTCAAGTGGTTCTTTTTTCAAGAACGCACTCGATTGTAATGCCTCGAAAGCGATCCGCATCCAGATCAATGGCTCGCCGGATGCTAGACTGAGGCGTGATGAGATCAACGCCGGCCCGCGTCGAGAGAGATGCCCTGATGGGGTTGGGGGGTTACTACGGGCCATAGTCACTGAAATGATTGCCGTTTTGAAGTCATTGCTTCTATAGTCGAATCGTTTCATGTGACCATGTGTGTCACTGCAAACACGGTCCACCTTTGGCGTTCCCATTTTGGATTCTCGGAGGAAACAACCCCTTGTGTAAGTGTTTAGAATGTATTCTCAATACTTTCTTTCCTTTGTAGGTAGTAATCACTTCAAATTGATGTAATCGATAACAAACGGCAAGTTTCTTGCATTTTTGCGATTGCAAATCTAGGATGAGGCGACAAAGGCGGACCGTGTGAGCAATGACACACATGATTATATAAAAGATTCGACTGTACTTTGTTTACTTTCGGCTAATTTGGAATTTCTGCTGTATGTTCAACATTCATAACAGCCGGAACGAGGAAACGTTCCACGCTACTTTCGCTTTTGCGAAATTGCTTAGTAAAGAGCGTAAGCCGTTTGCACCATGGTAAAAGCGTCAGAGATTTCCCATACAGGAATTTAGTCGCGCGAGACAACCCTAAGGGGGATTTACTTAGATGAGCCTTAGCCTCTCTGCCACCCCCTCATAGCAAATTCTTCCTTCTGTGCATTACCAAAGAGCCTTCCTAGTTCGGTGGTTTGGATGGCAATGAGAAAAGCAATCAAGCACTTGATTAGTAGTAAAAATTCAATGTGCTACAATTGTGCAGGTGCTAAAGGTAAAAGTGAAGAATGCTATCAAGAATGCCATCACTTGTGTTAGCTGAAAGTAAAATTCTACTGCACTTGCCATATCATTGTTTATATACTACAGCGGCTCTCTGCCGCTGCTCGACAGGTTCGGCTGCTACTCGGCAGGCCTCGTAAATTCTTCCTTTTACTCTGTTTTGTGGGAATGTGAAAATCTGCCATTTTGCATGAATTACTTCGATTTATAACCTGCGCAGAAAGAAGAATTGAAGACATGATTTTGGCTTTATCAATTCATTTTGATTTAACATTCTAACATAAGCAACGGATATCACGCAAACCAACGGGTATCGCGCAAACTGCAAAACAATTAATCGATAGGGGCAATAGGTCTGTCCCAAACAAAATGGCTTATTAACACAGGCCCCACCTCATACATTATGTTCGCCAAATTTGATTTAGATTCCATGACCCCTTCTATCCTTTTTAAACAAAGATACAAAAAGTGGCTAAGCTAAATATACAGAGTGTTCCAAAAAGATGTGCACACTGTTTGAGCGTTAATAACTCCCTTGCTTTTATGTCTTTTACCGAGCTTGAAGCATCATTTTGTAGAGCGAGGATAAACTTAGATTTACAGTATTGAGCGAAACTCCAATCTCTTTTTGCTACTGTAGGATTACGGTATGAACTTTTAGCATCCAGCATCACTGTGGGATAAGCCTTTTGATGAAATAATTTCAAAAAAATCTAAAAAATTGTGTAGCAAGGTTTTCAGGCGTGCTGATTTCACTACATAACTTTCCAACAGTTTTTCGAGCTTTCTTAATGGCGTATTCACATTTCTGCTGAGCACTGAAAAATCAGTTGTTACCCTAAATCTAAATTAACTCATGAAAGAAACATTGTACTGACATGCAGTTTTCATATTTAGAATCAGCGACTATGATTAACCCAGTTCAGGAGTTTCTGGCTTAATTGGCTTTTTTCTGAGGCAAAATACAGCTCTCCATTGCTGAAAATCCTCCTCGAAATTCCTACCGTAATTCTACAGTAATGAAAAGCGGCTGGTAAGTCCCTCCATACTGTAAATCTAAGTTTATCCTCGCTCTACAGAATGGTACCTCAAGCTCGGCAAAAGACATGAAAGCAAGAAAGTTATTAACAATCAAACAGTGTGCACATCTTTTTGGGACACCCTGTATATAACCAGTGCTTCACGCTTCGCAGAGGCTCGCACTGGCTCTACTGTCTAGGCTCTACTCATTTTCACATAATGATGACAATGAAACTCACCAAGCAATGCCGAGTATCACGAACAATAAACAACTACTCATTCTGAAAGCATTTTCATGTGAAATCGGTCATTTCGTTCGGATGAAACTTTTTGCAGGAGAAAAAACGCAAATTTTTCTATGTTTTTGATTTTCCCATGGTCTTGGCAGTTGCCATAAGAACAGTACTCACCGTGAGCTAAATTTTTGTGCAAAAATCTCCTCAAATGCTCTGGTAAAACCTTGTCAAATTGACCATTTACGCAACCAATACTTTTTGGCGCCGTTTTCGTAAAGCAATGGACTTTTGATCACTTTTTTGGACCTACGTTCATGGCTTGCGCATTTACTTGCCATAAACATCCACCATTCTGCAAAAAGTGGAATTACGGACCCAGTTTTATGGGCCAAATGCAAAGTGGATCCGTTTGACGCACAATTTCTGAGAGACCCAGTCAACGAATCTGCTTGTGCTTTTGCATGTTGGACTTTCATGCCAGTAGCAAGTGCTATGCAAAATTTGAGCTCAGGATGTTGGCTGGAACACGCTCTACGAATTTCGCGACAAACAGACATTCAGACACACACACACACACAAAAACACGTAAACACTCTCAGCGCGTTATTATAGTAGGATATTATAATATAAGCATCTTGCATGGCCTCCTCCAAATCAACATGTTGTACCCTTTGATTCAACGGGATTGGCGGGTGGAAGCCGGGGTCTCAACAGCTAGTCAAAACTAGAAAATGATCAGAGACGCACGCACGCGAGAGAGACGCAGAGTGCGCCGCGGAGCGAGCGTCGCCTTCCATCCACCAAGCCATACTTGATATAGGAGCCGATCTGCTGCATTCTCGAACAGTATGCTAACGCAAAAATGCAATCTACTTTTACTTTAGAATTTCAAGTTTGGAAAGAAAGAGTAGTCATGGTGCTGCACAGGTTCTGGCATTGTTGCGCTTGCTACTATAGAACCAGCGGCTAAGTGTGGCTTGCGGCATATTATATTTTAAACAGTTTGGCAAGCTCCATTGGGTGTGTAAACGCTACCAACTCCATTAATAAACAACAGTTTATTGTGTGCTGCCTCCCATTCACTTACTTTTCATGCGAAACCTAAAGAAGGCCATAATATCTTTTAGGCTTCATCCACGCATTACTTCTGCCAGTGTTACAGTCATCCTCTTGCCTGTGTTACCTTGTCGCAGGATATCACAGGTAAGAGTTACTTGTGCTATCCTGCGACAAGGTAACACAAGCACACAACCTCTTGTTACCGCTTTGCCTGGCCACATGACTTCGCACTCAAGATGCCGCGCATATGGCATACAGGGCCTACATTTGATCAGGGTATTTCAATATCGCACTCCGAAAACAGGTGTGGTATACGCAGCACCTGAAGATCGCGAAAAAACACTAACTATTTGGCGAGGTCCCGTTTGAAGACTGTAATGGTCATCACACCGTTACCAAACAGCAGCAAACGAGGGGACGCTATAGCACTAGCAACTCTGTTGACGCGGGTTACACGGATAGTTGCCAACCTGGTAATCCGGGAAACGCTGGTAGCACAATTACACGGATACACTAAGCACGAGGCTCTGGTGACAGAGGGTTAGTTATGTATGTAAGCCGAAGCCTCATAAGTAGGTAAGTATACATTTCTTCCCCTCCCCCTCCCCTGCACTGAAATCCAAACCGTTACAAAAACAAATCAAAGCTTCGTTCCATTCAGTACAATGTCACGAATCAATACTCTTTTATTGGAGTGACACATTTTTAAATAAAGCAGAGTAACGGTGTTCATATTCACTAATTTGAGTAAATTTCTTCTTTTTTGGATAATTGATCCTTCGTCTAACCGCATCTATCGTCATAATTAACTCTAATGTCCCAACAATAGTCTGCTAACTTTTCATAATCGCATGGTGTGGAACAGCATCCTCGTATGTTACGGGTGATGTCCACAGGGCTAGTCATCGTTTTCTCTTTGTAAAGTAACTAAAGCAGTTTAATGAGGAACAAGGAGCTGTGTAAAAGATCAAGTACTTTTACAACTGGTTCTTCATTTCTTTTGTACAATTCCAACATTAGTATTGCACTATATTTGGGAAACCTCTCACCCAAAGCAGCTTTTCCACATCCAAGCGCATGTAACATTGTAAAGAGTAGATAGTCTTCCTGAACAAGTTATTTTGCTCAAAGGTCTCGTAAGGTTTTAAGGTCTCATAAAGTTTACCACAAAATAGGCTATGAACTTTCTTCTAACTGATCCAAAATCTTCATATTCATTCCATTGTTCAAGTAATTCATCCAAAATTCTACTTAAGAATGGTCCTTGCAATGAAGTTAAAACTCTAAGATTTCGGAAATCATTAGCACAGTACCAGAAACTATATGCCTAAAATACCATTGGAAAAAAAGCTAGATATAAATCTGACATTTACTTCTAGCTAAGCCCTACCTTATCGTTAAACTTGTATAGTTGCTCACTTACATCGTTGAACCACTCCGGTACGGCCATACCGTTTTCGTACTTAAACGCTCACTTAGTTCGAGTGCTATTTACAGAAATTTTGCTAACTTTATACCCCAAGTCAACTACTCTAGCAAACTTCTCCTCGTCTTCGTAAGGAATTGGAGTGTTTGGATAAAAGCATTCATATAAAGTATTGAATTGTTTGAAATCCTACAAATTCGGGTAAAGCTTATTCCGTAAACACAATGAGTCGGGCTTACATCGCGGGCCTCTTCAATACCTTCACAATTGTGCGTGTATATACCCGCGATCCAATCACATAACATTTCCTCTGGACTTCTTATAATCTGAAAAATCGAATCTTTGAAACGAGTGCAAACCCTTTTCTTTTTGGACCGACCTCATCATTCTCCTCTTCACTAAATATGGGTACTGCGGTAAACTGTCCGTCTTCTCCTGCCCACATGCCTGATCCAACTAAAGCAGCGCTGTGCAGGTGCTTGCTGGAACTTCGACTTCGGAAGTAAACCTGGAAGGACGTGTTTCTCTGTGTACTATTCCCCGCTATTTCAATACTTCTGATGGCAGCAAAGGCTTTCTGAGGAAACCGCTTTCGACATATCGTTTGCCGAGGTACCTTCCTAACTCGAAGGAATCATTGATGCCAAGCTGTAATAGATGAAATTTACATATATTACAATTATTATATTCTAGTATTCTAGCTTGAACATGTTTCATAGTCGCTTCATAATCGGGAGTTTCCATCACCTTCCAATTTCTTCAAAGGTGTTGATTTGAAACAAGATGGCTCATTTTGAGTTAATCATAGTTTAAAATGAACTTATTGTTCTTGATGGAAAGCCGATCTGCTTAGATTTATGTTTTCATAGTGAAACTCTCAAAAGCACATGGCGCACCTTTTCGATTTTTCACACGAGCCGCGCAGCCTCTTCACTACACTTGGAAAAGCGATTTTTATGTCCATTATTCTCTTAGGCTATGTACAACATGGTATGGACCCTTTGCTTGCGAAGTCCTCTGGCGTGTTTGGGCTGGTCGATTGGAAAGAAATCCTCCACTTGTACGCGTGGGATTAGGGTACATTCATACCCAATGTACTCTTCAGGCCACCGACTATTTGACCCGCTCTCTCGCAAATCATATAAGCGGTGCTAGTATCGATTCCAAAAATGATCTTATGCTCTGGTTGGAAAATTTTTTGGGAGACCAGATCCGCTAAGTCTTGGAAAAACGAAATTAGAATTCTAAAGGCAAGATGGCAGGAGATTATGCGCAACAACAGAACATGCTCGACTGATTTTCGATAGAATTAGGTCATTTGTTAGTTTGCCTTGGTCTCAGACAGCGGATCGGACCCCTCCGGCGGAGAAATGGCAGGGCCGCGGGGTTTCCCCAGCGGGGTGTCTGCCACTCATGCCCCGGAACCCCCCGATTTTGTGCGCCGGAGACCTCCCATTTCTGCTCCGGGGCCCTCCCATTTTGTGCTCCGGAGACCTCCCAATTTGTGCTCCGGAGACCTCCCATTTGCGCTCCGCAGGCCTCCCATTTTGTGCTCCGGAGACTTCCCATTTTGTGCTCCGGACCCCTCCGATTTTCTGCTCCGCGGCTCGTGCAAATCTGGCGTACCTCCGGAGCAGAAATGGCGTACCTTTGCAGCAGATCCGGAGAAGGGTCCCACTCGCCTGCCGGTGACGTCCCCGCCACCTACAAGAAGGGACCGCCCCCTCGCCCCGCTCTCATTGGTCAACTGGGTCCGCCGCAACTCTGGCAGATTTCGACTGTCCGGCGGAGGGGTCCGATCGATTGTCTGAGGGTTTATCAAGACTCTACGAAATTTTAGAAGGACAGTGATACTACCGGAACTTAATGTCAAAACAATGGTTGAATTTGAACGAGAAAACTCGCTTTTATGAGAAACTACCATCTGTTGCAACAAATGCGAATTATTAGAACTTCCATAGATAACAGCCTGAGAAGATCTACGCTTCATAAACTTTGAAACAAAGAAATAGAAGCATGTATCGAATGTAATCTTGATATGATCATACGATTCAACTACTTCGGAGTAGATGCTGAAAGAGCAAAAGTTGCGCGCTGTGTGATCAATTGCTCCAGTACCAGTGGTAGTTAGTAAGCGTTGCCTACCGCATTTTCAATTAAGTGGCTGTTCAACGAACTGTTCGTTCCTTTTCTCCAGTCACTCATAGAGTTACATAGCTAGTGGCCGGCAAAGTCCCATCGTCACCTTCCGCAGTGCCGGCTGGCAATGAGGATCAACCTCGACGAACGACGAGGGCACTGTCCCGTCAGGCGGAGCGATGCGCCGGACGGGACAGTCCGATGCATGTGACACGACTGACTGTACAATCAGTCGTGTCACATGCATCGGACTATCAAGGATCAAGCTTATTATTTCGTCAAGCTGCTAGGGCGTCCCCCGGAGGCGACGCGCATCATTGCCCGCATGGCGCGAACAGTGAGCTAGGACTACCTGCCCCCGAACGAGACAGGCCAAAGGAGTGAATCCAGCAAATCTGACTAGTGACGATTAACATAGGAACGCTGATGAGCCGCATTCGAGAGCTATGCGATAGACTGAGGGAGCGACATATCGACATCGCATGTGTGCAAGAAACGAAATAGAAGGGAGTAAAGGACATCGGTGAAGGGCATCACTTATACTACACGGGAGATAGCAGCCGCCTGAACGGAGTCGCGATCATCGTCAGCGGTAGATACCGCGAGTTAGTGGCCAAAGTGACGCGCATTTCAGACAGATTGATGGCGACGAAGATAGAAGCAGATGATGCCACGCTCTGAATAGTCTCGTGTTACGCCCCGCAAACCGCATATACCGAAGCCGAAAAGGACGTGTTTTGGACGAACTTCGACATCCTGCTAAGGACATTCGACGCCACAGACTACATCTTCGTAGGAGGTTATCTTAATGGGCACGTTGGTCACGCACACGATTGGATTTAAGAGATACCATGCTGGAAATGGTTACGGACAGAGGAACGAGGATGAAGAACGCATCCTAAAAGCAGCACAAGCACACGTCTTGGCCATTGCGAACACATTCTACAAAAAGAGGAAGCGCACTTAATTACATACGCGAGTGAGGATCGCTCAATTCAGATTGACTATTGGATGCTGCACCGAAGCCACTTACCAATGATGATGAACGCGAAGGTCATACCCACGGCGACACAAGCATTCGCGCCATAACATCGATTGCTGGTTGGATCTTCGATTAAACGTTCACTTACACCCACGGACCAGAAGGACGATGACAAAGAAGATCAAGTGGAAGCTTCTTGAACATCGTCAGAAAGCTAAAGAAGCTTTTAACGCTCTGGAGTTGCCGACTGATGAAAAGGAGTCGACTGAAGACCAATGGAATTGGATTACCGCGCTATACGCTCGACGGCCGAGGAGATCTTGGGGACCATCCAGCCAGAACGCCGGTTTGTCGACAAGCAGATCTGGTGGTGGTCTGAGTCAGTTCAACGAGTGATTAGTAGAAGGAAGCCTACAAAGCCTGGCAACGCTCTCACGCAAACGAGGATTTTCGTCGATATCGGGAACTAAGCTCGAGAGCGAAGCATGCAGTAGCCGAGGCAAAAAAGGCACACTATACAAGAAACTCTTTGATGAACTGGAGGGACCTGCCGGCGCTAACAAAGTCTATCAACTTGCCGCCGCCCGACATCGAGCGAAGCAAGACATCGATCACGTCACATCAAAAATGCAGAGGGCAATCTTCTGATGAGGCCGAGGGCAACACTCTAGCGGCTAAACGAATACTACGAGGGTCTTTTTAATGAGGAATTCCCGCATCCGCCGGTACCGCAAGGAACGTCCACATTCAAACCGGTACCTCGAATCGAGGAAACTGAAGTTGCTGGGCACTGAAGAAGATGTCTAGTGGTAAAGCCCCGGGACCTGACGACATACCTGCGGAAGTGTGAAAGATGATGGGACAACGTGGAGTGGTTTATTTACCTTACATCGCTTTTAGACCGGATCATCATTGATGGGCAGATGCAGCGAATCTGAGGCCGTATTCATCATTGCTACCTTGAAGTAAAATGAACCTTGAGGTAGGATTATCACTCAAAACTCGTATTCATCAATGTACCTTGAGGTAAATGCTCAAGGATAGCTTAAAAATGATTTCATGTATGGATGATAAATTGAGTTGAATTCTACCTCAAGGTAGCCTTATCAGCGATTAATCGCATTCATCAAACTTGATGCCTTTACCTCAAGGTACATTCACAATAGAAACTTTTATTCTAGCAAAAGGCAAGGTTACGAGTGATACCTTTAGAAATTTACAAGGTTTTAGAGCCTGATTTCTCACATGAACACCATAGTGACAAAACTGAACCCATTGCAGCAATTTTGTCTAACTTCCCTGAGATTAGCTAGAGTTACAGACATGTAAAGAAATGTACTACATTTTTCTTCAATCCAATGGGTATGTTGTGAGTGTTGTAAAAGTCCTGTGAAACTGATGTATCGAATCAAAGAAAGTCAAACATATCCTTTATTTGCTCCAACAGCATTTTGAGCATCATAGATCCTATCAAAAGTATTTTGAGCATAGCACACCGAAACCACAAGCTAAAAATTCTATGATCCGCTTTGCAAGCTCTGTATCCAACAAAAGCCAGGGTTGACGTTCGTGTAACGCATTTCTTTAGTCTTGTTCAGTTGCTCAACTCAAATTCAACTGAAGTAGGCATCAGGCAGGCATCGCAGCACAGAATTTTGTAAAATGTATTTAGAAGCAGATATTTTCCCGGATAGAGTCTTGAAACCTAGAATCCTACTATAATAACGCGCTAAGAGTGTTTACGTGTTTTTGTGTGTGTGTCTGAATGTCTGTCTGTCATGAAATTCGTAGAGCATGTCCCAGCCAACGTCCTGAGCTCAAATTTTGCATAGCACTTGCTAATGGCATGAAAGTCCAACATGCAAAAGCACAAGCAGATTCGTTGACTGGGTCTCTCAGAAATTGGGCGTCAAACGGATCCACTTTGCATTTGGTCCATAAAGCTGGGTCCGTAATTCCACTTTTTGCAGAATGGTGGATGTTTATGGCAAGTAAATGTGCAAGCCATGAACGTAGGTCCAAAAAAGTGATCAAAAGTCCATTGCTTTACAAAAACGGCGCCAGAAAGTATTGGTTGCGTAAATGGTTGATTGCCGATTGCTGATCGTAAATTTGCCAAGGTTTTACCAGAGCATTTGAGGAGATTTTCGCACAAAAATTTAGCTCACGGTGAATACGTTCTTATGGCAACTGCCAAGACCATGGGAAAATCAACATGTGAAAAATTGCGTTTTTCTCCTGCAAAAAGTTTCATCCAAGCGAAATGACCGATTTCACATGAAAATGCTTTCAGAATGAGCAGTTGTTTATATTTTGTTCGTGATACTCGGCATTGCTTGGTGAGTTTCAATGTCATCATTATGCGAGAATGAGTAGAGCTTAGACAGTAGAGCCAGCGCGAGCCTCTGCGAAGCAGAGATGAAACACTTGTTGTTAAATATGTGGACCCTCCAATTCACCAACTGTACCCTTTCACACTCTAAAGACATAAGCATCCTCGCGCAAATCACATGCAAGTATGGAAAAA